TAGTCCAGGCGTAAGGTGATGAGAACCTACACCAGGGGGTGGCAGTATCAGAAGAGAGAAAAGGGTGCATTGGTGAGATGTTGAGAAGATAAAATCAACAGGCCTTGGCACCATCTTGGATATGGGAAGTGAGAGAGGGTAAGAAATCAATTATGATTCCCAGATTGTGAGCCAGGGAGCCTGGGATGATGGTGTTGCCCTCTACAGTAATAAGGAAGGAATTGGAGGGAAAGATGAATTATGTTTTGGATATATTGAGTTTAAGATTTCTACTGGAAATTCAGTTTGAGATGTTCGAACAACAGATGGAGATGCAAGATTGGAGATCAGCAGAGATATTAGGGCAGGATATGTAGATTTGAGACTCATCTGCACAGAGATGGTAATCTTTGGGAGCTGATGACATTACCAAGTGAAGTTGCATAGAGGGAGAAAAAAAAAGAGCCTGGGACATAATCCTGTGGGATGCTTACATTTAGAGAGCATTATCTGGAGGAGGATTCAGCAAAGGAGACAGAGAAGGAACAGTCAAATAAATAGGAAGAATTCCAGGGGGAGTGGTGCCCTGAAAAGTTAAAGAGAGTATTAAGGAGTGATTTGTAGGGTCAAAGGCTGAGAGAAGTCAAGGAGAATGAGAGTAGAGAAAAGGCCATTGGATTTGGCAACTAAAGATCAATAGTAACTTTGGAGAGAGGAGTTTTGGGGAAATGATATGAGCTGAAACCTGATTGTGAGGGGTTAAGAAGAGAGCGAGAGAGATGAAGTAGAAGAGAGATGAACCCCCATTGTAGAACACCTTTTCAAGGAGTTTAGTCACAAAAAGCAGAAGAGACATAGGACGATAATTATTTGGGATGGAAAGATTAAGTGAGGATTTTTTCAGGATGAGAGAGACAGGGTCATGTTTGTAGGCAGGAAGAAATTAGCCAATAGAGAGGGAGACACTGAGAATAAGCGAAAGAGTGCAGATGACAGAAGGGGCAATCTGTTGGAGGAGACAGGATGGAATGGGGTCAGGAATAGTTTAGCTGTGGTAAGGAGTAAGGTGAACAAGTATGAACAAGTAAACATGTGAAGAAGTGGGGTTGTCATCAAGAAGTGGTAGCAATGAAAAAAATTAGCTTTCACTTCAGATATGCTCAATTCACCTCCTAAATGTCACCTCCTCCTCATTCCCTCTGTTGTTCACCTCTGGAGAGACAGATGAGGATGCAGCAAAAGTGGTACCCTGAGTTTAAATATGAATCAGACACTAGCTGTGTCACTAGCAAATCACTTAAGTCTTCTTTGCCTCAGTATCCTCAACTGTAAAATGGGTGTAATAGTAGCCCTTATGTCACAGGGCTGTTTTGAGCATCAAATGAGATATTTTTTAAAGGAATTCACACATTGCTTGGGTTTATTCCTTTTCCTTCCCTTCCTCTTTCATTCCACTCTCTTGACATCTTCTCTATCTCCTCTACAGCCACTTTCCTACTTGGAGAAATCCCTCTTGATTGGTGACTCCCGAGCCCAAACTGCCATTTTTGATGAGCCCCCAGCCATGCTCACTTCACTCCTATCTCAACCCACTTTAAGGACTCCTTCACATCCTCACCAGCTGCCTTACCTCCTTTCCCAGCCCCACTGCTTATCTGCTTTGCTTTATGTGTTGTTTCAGCCCATTAGAAAGTAAGCTTACGGATGGAGATTGTCGTTTGCTTGTATTTCTATCCCTAATGCTTTGCATATTGCCTGGCATAAAGTAAGTACTTAATAGTGCTTGTAGACTGATATTACTTTTTTTATGTAAATTATTCTCTGAGTACTCTATGAATTCACAATAGTCTTTTTAGAATCTCTCCTCCAGCCTCAATCTCTTTTGTTTCTCATTTGAATTTTTTCTCTAAAGGACTTTAGAATTTCATTCTTAAGATCTTCCACTCCTTCTAGTGCTGTTATCTCCTATATAATTCTATTGTTAGGGGTGTTTTCCATTTTTTATCTGAAGTCTTTGCAATCTGTTCTCCCCAAATCTAGAGAGCACATCAAATTATATCTGGCTCTCCTCTCCTCTTCTATTAAACACTATAAGACAGATGAATTATTCCTCTCCAAAGCTGCCATTATTTCTAATTTGGTATATATCTCCTTGTTGCTGAAAATCTGGTCTAGAATTGTTGTTGTTGAGTTGTTTTAGTTGTGTCTGACTCTTTGTGACCCCATTTTGGGGAGGTTTTCTTAGCAAGAATACTGGAGTGATCTACCATTTCCTTTTCCTGCTCATTTTATAGATGTGGTCCTGAGGCAAACAGGGTTAAGTGACTTGCCCAGAGTCAAACTGCTAATAAGTGTCGGAAGCCAGATTTGAACTCAGGAAAATAGTCTTCTTGACTTTAGGCCTGGCACTCTATCCACTGAGCCACCTAGCTGCCCTTTGTTCTAGAATAGCCTTGCCTTTGTTGGGTACTTCACTAATCAATTAAATCATCATTAAGGCAAACCAAGAAATTATCAGCTTCTTTGCTTTGGAAGGCACTTGCCTGAGTAATTGAAAACTCTCTTAGTTTTGCTATCATAGTTCCATACCAGCCTTGCAATCTATTTCCTGGACAAGTATCTATTTCTTCCTTCTGTCCTAGTTGCCTACAGTCCAATGGCAACAGTTCTTCTCTTTCTCATTCATTAGATATTAACCCAAAATTTATCTACAACCATGGATTATCCCTTCCAATTCCTGATTTTCTTCTTTGTGCAATAATTTTAATATGTACTTCTATTTTACTCCCTCCACACCTAATTCTACATACAACTTTTTACTTATATTGTTTCTTTTGAACACAGTATTCAAGAATAATAATTCAGCTCAGAGTATCACTCCTCCAAATTTTTTAATGATACCTTAGAGATTGATATGGGAAAATTATTCCCACTGAGTTCTTGTGATAGGTAAATGCTACCAAAATAACATTAGCACTGGGCAGAGATTCCAGAGGCTAAAACTTAGGTTTTATTAGGCATAGGCACAGTTTCAGAGCTCAGAAAAATAACTCTGAATCTCAATTAAGGTTCTATCAAAACATAGTTTTCAGTTATGTTAGAGAGACAGAGAACTAATTTTTGTTCATGCATCTATGTCAAAGAGGAGGCAATTAAACACACATCTCCCAGGGCCATAAAAGTGAAAACAGACTTAGTTTGGTATCTAGAAATAAAGTAAGGCAAGTTACATATTACTACATTTAAGATCATAATGGGCTGACCAAGAAGGACGCTAAAAAGATAACCATAGAATTGGAACCCAGTTGGGATCCTTCCACAAATAAAGCAAGTCAAATTGCTTTGGAAATGTTTGCCTCCCTTTTGGCTTCTTATCTCAGAAATGTCTGAGGGTCTTTTCTAAATTTCAGCATCCCATAGAACAGGCTTCAGCCTGCCAAATAGCCTCCTAAGTGGGAGAGGAAGTCTCAAACCCCAAATAATGAAGAACAATGAAAGGAAATAAAAAATTCTTGCAATAAGATCAAATTTGCCTTCTACTCTAGGCCCTCTAATTGGTCTTGCTTGTGCCCAAACTTTATACATTTGTGGATCAGTATCAGAGGCCAGGATTTTAATTTCTGGGTCCCTTTTTTGAATTTGATGTGATGTGAATTTTTGAGCCTCTACTTTAATTCTTCCAGCAGCTCTTTGGTTATAATATCCAAAATCCTATCACAGAGAGGTCAAGGTCAAGGGCAATAAAGGCAAAAAACCCTATTTATTGTATTTACTGAGAAAGTCATTTAGAGAAAAAAATGTTTCATTTGAATGGAAGAAGCCAGGGGAAAGGGAGAAAGTTAAGGTGCCCAACCAAAAGAGATTACCCGAGTGAGGTTATGGAGGTGATCAGAGGCAGTGGAAATGAGGGTATCAGAGGAAAGGTTCGCTTTGGCAAGGAGGAAGGGATCCTCCTTATAGGTTGGTGGGTTGGAGGGGTGGCTACATGAGTAGGGGAAGGGAAAAGGAGTGAACAAGCATTTGTTAAGCATCTACTTACTATGTGCTAGGCACTGTGCTAAGCATTTTTTAAAAAAATCTTATTTGAGCCTCACAACAGCCCTAGGAGGTGCAATTATCCCCATTTTGTAGTTGAGGAAACTAAGGTAGATGGAGGTTAAGTGACTTGCCTAGAGTCACATAGATAGATTTAAATTCAAGTCTTCCTGACTTTAGGCCCACTGCTCTACTCACTGTAGCACCCAGCTGCCTCCTATGAATACATTGAGAGGCTCAGAGATTGAATGCAGATTGAGACCCCACAGGTATTCCCCTCTCATGTAATTCTCATTCATGTCCTTTCATAAATCCACACAACCTAACACACTGAGGCATTTCATATCATTCTTTAAATATCTCAAAGATAAGACTGTGGGAGTTGAACTTTTAATCTATTACCCCTTTCTCTTGCTACCTGGACATCCAACCTCCATTTTTGAACATACATGCCCCTCATTATATATTTTACAAACGTCTCAAGAGTAAATCACTACATTATGCTTATACCCATGATGCATCTTTCCATTGTATTTAGGTCCCCTGAAGTTGAATTGAATCAAATCATGCAGGGAAAAAGTTGAAAGGACAGTCTATTGGCATACATGGACATCACAGCAACATGGGAGTGATTGCATAGGCAGCCCTGGTTCTTTCAGGAGCAAGGATAGTGTCAGTCCAGCTTTCTAAGTCCATTGCTCTAGGAATCAGTCTAGGATTCCTTCTTGCCTTTCCAAGATCAATGTGTCCTTCCTTACCTACCCTGAGCCTGTCCTCTGTACTGCTTCTGATATCTACCATTTCATTCTTCCCAAACTAATTCCCAATTTAGTTTATTTCTCTTTTCTAATGGCTTTTCTTTCCTGCCTCCCTCCCAGACATATACCTTTCCATTTGGCTGATTCTTTCTTTAAGACCAAGAGTGATTTAAGACAAGGAGCCCCTCCCTGTTTATAACCACAGTCAATAATCTGGTACAATCTTACCCTGTGATACTTCAGCCAGGCCAGGCAGAGATGGAACTAGAAGGATAACTCATCTCACCACGAAGATGGTGGGATCTTGTGGTGGGATGGTACTTGGTACAGAGGTCATTCCACTATGAAGATCCGCCTTTCCATGCATACAACATTCAGTCTAACACTCATGTGGTCTTTTTGTACTAATGCTTGGAGGCGGGATCTGGTACCTGGAATTATTTTGCATATTGCTCTCCTACCTTGTACAAATACTGCTTGAGACATAAGAATCCCTCTATTCCCCATCTGCCCCACTCTGGGTCTAGAGCTCTCTACCTGCAAATCTACAAAGGACAAAATGATCTCGCCATCCCTGCTCCTCTGGCTCCTGCTGGTCTTGGATCACGGTAAGGTCAGGTATAGGATGTACTTATTGAGGAGGAGTTTCCATGTCTAAAAACATGTTTGTGGAGAGGGGATGCGCCTTAAAACCAGTAGAAATGACATCTGAGACCTAGTCATGGCACACATTGAACGAGAGGGTGGGCTTACTGGGGAATTCTCTGTGTCTGAACATGATACTTTACTAAAACTTATTTCTTCTCATTTTTTTTCTAAGAGTCTTATGCAGAAACTGTGCTGACCCAGTCTCCAACCTCTTTGTCTGTGACTCTAGGAGAGAGAGTCACCATCAGTTGCAGGTCCAGTAGGAACCTCTTACACAGTAATGGCCTCAATTACCTAGCCTGGTACCAGCAGCCACTTGGAGAGTCTCTCAAGCTCTTGATCTATTGGGCTTCTACCCTTAACTCTGGGGCCCTTGTCCGCTTCAGTGGCAGTGGGTCTAAAACAGATTTCACACTCACTATCAGCAGTGTGGAGGCTGAAGATGTTGGACATTACTACTGTCAGCAATATTATGACTTTCCTAACCCACAATGATGCAGGCCTGAACAAAAACCATCCCAGGCTGCTGAAATGTTTGGCACAGGGCAACAGCTGCTTCCTCCAGAGCACCAGGTTCTGGGCAGCTGCTCAGCGTACGGGAGGACTGGGCTGAATTTAGACCAATAGTGAGAGCTACATGTCCTAGAATTTCCTAGGGTAGGAGCAAGGGGTAAGGAATGGGAGATAGTAAGAGGAGCAAGAACTTTTTCCCTGTTTACTCTGACTACACTTACAAATCCAGACCCCCAGGCTGGATCATCATGGAAGCTGGTCCCTTTCCTTACTCCCTGTTATCCCCCATCTCCTAGCCCCTAACTGAAGGCTGCTCAGGTGAGGTTCATCTCATCAGGGACATTTAGGAGACATATTTGGAAAGCTGTCAAGAAACTGTGGATTGACACTTCTAGATGGTCTTCACTAGCCTTACAGTGACAGAAAGGGCCAAGACAAGATCCTTAGCAATGTGCTGGAGGCCCCATTCAGTCTTTCCCTTGATTTTCAGGGAATATAGTTCTCAGAGAAAAATCATATCCCTCTCCCTGCCATCCCTAAATTGTCACCAGTTCATCACTCCCAAGCCCTAAACCATCAGTGAAATGGACCTGACCATCTCTCACAATCACTGAAAGGTTTTGGGGGAGAAAAGAGAGGAACCACCTTGAAAGGCCGTTTCAAGTCTCTTTGTTTGGCTTTTGCCCTCAACTAATTTTTTAACTTTAGCTAATCTACTGGGAATACAATTACTCAGTGCTTGATTACTCTGAAGGCCATGTTCCAGCAATATAAGACAGGTCACATAGATATTCCATTATAGTCATGTACTTAAACCTGGGGGAACAGCTAGGTGGTGCAGTGGATAGAGTACCAGACCTTGAGTCAGGAAGACAGATCCTTCAGAGTTCAAATCTGGCCTCAGACATTTCCTAGTTGTATGACCCTGGGCAAGTCCTTAATCCTGTTTGCCTCAGTTTCTTCATCTGTAAAATGAGCCAGAGAAGGAAACAGAAACCATTGCAGTATCTTTGCAAAGAAAACCCCAAATGGGTTCACAAAGATTTCAACATGACTGAACAACAACTACCTGAGAGAGAGGTGATAGATTTAGGGTGCAGAATGAGACATAGATATGTTTATATACAGCCAATAATGCAATTTGTTTTGCTTGAATATGCATATTAACTACAAGGAATTTTCTTCTTTTCCTCTTTTTTGTTTTTAATTGGATGGGGGTGAGAGGGAGAAAAAATAAATTTTTATTTAAAAGCACTCCTTCAAAATAGACTGAAATGTTACAGATGTGGAATGTTGCATGCACTTACAGATGAGGTTGCTATGTTGTTAATTTTTCTTAGTAGTTTCATTTTATTACAAGAGAGTTTTCACAGAGTGGGGATAAACTGGAAATATTTACATCTGGTCTTCTAGTAACTAGTGCATGTGGTGAAAACAGTGCAGGTCTTATGGAGTTAACCTTATGAACATCAGGGTGATAGGAAGAACATCAGAATAGGTCACCTGGAACTCTTACAGAAAGTCATTGCAGGTAACATGCAATTTGGCTTGTATCCATGATGTGTCTTTCTATTACAAACTTTGAGTCCCTTGTGGTTGAGCTGAATCAAATCAGGGAGAGAGGAAGTTAATATACACAGGACTGACATGTATGGAATCAGAGGAACACAGGAGTGAATGAAGAATGAAACTTGTGGCTAGACAATTCCAGTGCCTCAATGGGGTCTGTCCAGCTCCCCAAGCCCATTTTGAGACCAGGATTCCCTTCCTAAGACTGCTATGTCCTATCTTATCTTTGCTGAACCTATTCCTTTGGCCCCTTTAAAGTCTGTCTTTTCATTCTTCTCAAACAAATTCTTCACTTAGCTTCTTTCTATTTTCTAATGGCAATTTTTTTCTTCCTACAGCCCAGACATGTCTCTCCATTTCACTGATTCTTTGTTCTAGACCCTGACTGATTTAGTCTCTCCTAAGAAGACAGAGAGGCTTCTATTTACAACCACAACCAGCCACCTGCTGTGGTCTTACCCTGTGACCCTCTAGGGGAGGCTTGGTGGAGATGAAATCAAGAGGATAAATCATTTCAGCATAAAGTCACACCCCATAGTAAATGCAATATATAGTGTGGACTACCTATGGTCCCTGGAACTGAGGCATAGAAGCCAGAGGTAATACGTGTTTCCATAGAAATATCCCAGGAAACTTGCACAAGCATTTCCTGAGATATAAATATCTATCCGTTTCTGTGTCATTCACACCCAGTCCATGAATATATCATCTGAAGGGAAGGAAACTTGCTGGGGAATTCACCATATTTAGACATGGTTCTTTCTTTAAATCAATTTTTTTTCTCATTCTCTTTTTTTCCATCTAATAATCCAGGACAGCAATCCTACTGATCTTGTCTTCATTCCTCCCTAGGAAGCACCCATGACTCTCCAGACTTTTTCTCCATGCCCCCTCACTGCCTGTCAGTGTCAGCCCTTTCCTAGGAACCCTTCAAATCCTTCCCATAAATTGACCCTGATAAGCTTCAGCTGAGTAAATCCCTACAGTGAGGAGCTGGGTGAGGGAAGATCAGGGGCTATGTGGTGCTACTGGGCCTCTGATTCATTGGAGATTTAGAGGCAATGAAGGTTTCTTTGCTGATTCAGGCATTAGAACCCATCATGGTCCAGGCTTCACCCTTCAGATAATGCCAACTTCCAGAGCTGACACGGACCCTTGCATGAAGAAAAAATTGCCATGCTGCTCATCTCCTACTCTAAGATTGCCTTGAGATCATAGGTGTTAGTTTATGCTATCAACTCACCTGGGAAACAGATTGTGCTCTTCAGCTGGGGGCCTATGCTGTTCCTGCCTGAAGTTCTGAGGTACAAACTGCTCCAAGAATGAAGGGGGCTTGAGAAGTAAGGAAACAAGAGAAGAGGGTCACGTAGGCTTGTCCCTAAGCAAACTCAGGAGGACGTTACACAGCCAAAAGGCCACTGGATATTCTAATTTTTTAAGAGGAGAGGACAGAATTTCCCCCTTTCTCTTCAGGGAATGGCCCATTCCTTTCAAAACCTTCATGGTTAGATTGGGGGGGGAGTGGTTAATCCCCCCAAAGAAAAGTCTTTGTCTTTTAAACCATGGTCCTTAGGGGAAACTCAGCAGAACTATTTCCAGATATCTGGTGCCCTTAAACTTCATCTTTTCTAAAAAATCATATTTTCTATCTATTTCTCTGCCTATCCATATGGTGACCTCCCTCTCAACAAACTGCCAAGGACTCTTTGTGTCCAAGGTCCCCCAGTTTTTCATGTCCATAAATTCCTACAGCATTTCTGCCTTAGTTGTTTACATGGTGAATAAGGCTTTCTTAGGCTTTGTTGCCTAAACTTATTACTTAAACCTGACATAATATTGACATTTCCCCCCTGGGAAGTTAAATGGGTAATTCAGATTGAGATTTCAAGTACATTAATGGCCCTGAGTCATTTTCACATAAGCTAAAATCTATCCACAACAACTAATATGTTAAAAAAGGAAAGTCATCTAGTTGACTTATGGCCTACTAACGTGGAAATGAACATCAGCCCCATACAGGAATAAAATTTAAAGTTGGCTCTAAGGAGTCCATCACTCATCAGTCTCAGTGAATTCATGAGGGCAGGATAAGTGAATAAGCAGGAATCTGGATATAAAACCATAAGGTCTTTATTTAGTTAGCCAAGGAGATACTTGATTGTAAATATCTACTCTGAGCATACCACTGTTTCATATATCATATTTACACAGCATTTTATAGCTTTTGCAAAAATTTAAACCACACAGTAAAGGTCAACTTTAATATCAACTAAACTCTAGGATGGGTTAGACTTAGTTTATCTCATCTATCCCAGGAAAATGTTTTCAGGATAAGATATTCTGACATATAAAGGGAACAAGATGTATTACATTTTTCAAGTGTCATCTCCATAACTGTGATCTATAATATTGAGTCATATATAAGCACAACATAGTTCTCATCATCTAGTGGAAAATATGGGATAGAGTTATGAGTATGATTGCTCTGATTGTTTGACCCATTTCTTGGTGTTGGCAAACAACCAGTCTATGACCTTATGGGGATTATAGTTTTTAACCAAGTGTGGTTGACTCAGGGGTAAAAGAGAAATTAGGGACAAAATGCTGAGCA